CTAGGCTAGTCATTATAATACTAGAACTCTCTAAATCATGGTATATTTTGGAAGAAGCCTTTTCCAGTTATCTATTACTGTGTGACAAACAATCCCAAACTGTAATGTCTTAAGTTAACAAGCATTTTATTCCCTCTGATGGTTTTCTGTGTGCTTCCTGGGCTGCGTTAGGAAAATCTGCTCTACATGTTCCAGGGGGGTTGTATTATGGTACCAGGATGGTTGCCTTGAATGAAAGTTAGTGCTACTGATTGACTGATTGCTATTAGGTGTCACCTGAAGTGCCTTGGTTCTCTTTTCCTAGATTCACCACAGGGATTACACTTTTTTGATCATAGTATCTGGGAACATTCCAAGCAGATCAGTCTCAATGGGTAAGGATTTTAGTGAATTTCTGCTTGTATTATATTTGCTAATGTCCCACTGGCCAAAGCAAGTCACAAGATCATGCCTGGAGTCAATGTGAGAAACATGGTAAGTCATGAATCCCTTAAGAGGTGGTTACATGGGAGGCACCACTGTAAGAGTCCACCATAGAGCCATAACCAGCCTTTCAAACATCCTCATACCCATGAGTGGCACAGAATCAAATGGGATTTTTGCCACCAGCATCATTATGGCAAAGATGCAGCATAGAAAACTGCAGGACTGACTGCCCTCAAGCACCGAGGAGCAGAGCTCCCCCAGCACTGAGGAGGTGAGCCATGCAGGCACCAGCAGCACCACTCCCCTCCCTTCCCCTACAGCTGTGCTGAGCCAGTACCTGGATCCACACTACAGAGGTGCAGGGGCTCATAAAGTACATTGTTCTGAGCTCCAGAAGATAGAGCAGAAGTGAACAACAGAAAGAGGGCCTCTCTGAGGCTCCTTGATGAAAATTGAAGCCCAATGGAAAAGGGAAGAAAATCTCTGCAACAAAAGCACACCAGACCACCATAGTTGGTAAGTTGGAGGGATAACCACCTCTTATTGGAACCTTGACTATCTTCAGGGAAGGGCACCTGGAACCTGCAGTAGAATCTTGCAGAGTTCAACCCAGCAGGAGGTCAGGGAGGTCAATTTGGGCCTTGCCTCCAGAAATCCGACTGCTGCAAGGTTGCTGAGACTAACTGACTTACATCTATGCAGCTGCCCACATTGTCTATTTTGATAGCAGAGACATGCCCTGAAGGAGGCCCTTTATTTTTATTTTCAAAGTTATTTTTTTCTATTTTTAATTTTTTTCCTCTCTCTCCCCCCCCCTCCCACCTTGTTCTTCATCTCTCTACCATTTTGTTCATGTTACTGTCCTAGTTCAGTTTTCTTTTTTCTTTCCCTTTTCTTCTCTCTTTTTCCTTCTTTCAATTGTCATTAGTTTTAAAAGTCGATACACTTTCTAGCTTCCCTATTGGTGTTGAGTTGTTCTGTTCTTGTCTTTCTTTCATTTTATCTTTTCCTCTTGGCTTCAACTGTTTCCTAGACTTTATATGATCTTCCTGTGTCCTCTGGCTTCACTTCTAGCCTTTCCCTATCCTTGTACCTATCTCCCTCCCTCCTCAACTCCTTTTAAGCCCCCATCCCAAAGGGTAAAGTTGGTACATTGAAGAGTTTATTCACTTTAAACATATTTTGGGCTGGTCCTCAATTTTGATTTAATTCACATGGTTAAAGGTGATTGATAAATAACTACCACAAATTGTAATTTTCTGAGCTGTGCTTGGTGCTATTGCTGCTGCTGATTGTATCACTTGGGCTAAGGGGTTGTGATTGATCTAATCAGTTGTCCTTCCTGGTAAAATGAGATTGCCTAAGAGTCATTAGAGACTCAAAACCTAAAGACCAACTATATCTGGAAGACACCTCTGAGAAGCAATCATTCTGTAAGGGTTCTAAATACAAGCAACAAAGATACTTACAATAAAGAATATTAAAGTATCAACCCAGTAATTAAACAAAAACAGTACCAACAATAAAAATAGAAATGAGAAGACACCCAAACAAGATGAAAACCCAGACTTCCAGCTCACCAAAGGCAAATTCAGGAGGAAATGAGGTGGAAAAACCTGATAATCACCCACCTGAATACCCTGAACTGGTATCACAGGAAGAAAACAGATGAATGAGGCTCTAGAAAAATTCAAAACGGAAATAATTTCCCAGATAACTATAGAGATGGTAAGCAGAATGAAAGACATTATTAGAGACTCTAGGACAGAAACAGATAAAAAAAATAGATGAGCTCAGGACCATGAGGGATGGTGTGAATGCCCAGCATAGAAAAGAAATGGAAAACATGAAACAGATTCAAACAGATCTCCAGGAGATTAAAAACTCTATTGAAAGCATTCACAGCAGAATGAGGCAATGTGAAGGCAGAATTTCAGATATAGAAGACAGGATTGTAGTCCGTGACCATGAAAAGAGAGATCTATTAAAAATAGTAAAGGACAATGAGAAATTGATCCATCAGCTCCTAGATGACAGAAAGAAGAATAATATAAGACTTATAGGAATCCATGAAAAAGAAGGAGAAAGTACAAATGACACACACAAAAAAACTGTTCACAGAATTAAGGACAGAAAACTTCCCAAACAGCGTGAGAGAATTTGACATATGGAAAAGTGAGACATATAGGACTCAAACTAGCCATGATAAAAAAAATCTACACTTAGACATAAAAATCAAGATCCTGGGAACCCAACAGAAGAACAAAATACTATAAGCAGATAGAGAAAAGAAACAAATCACAAAAAAGGAAAGCCCATCAGAATCACAGCACACTTCTCAGCACAAATCCTCAAGGCAAGGAGGGCTTGGGGTGAAGTCTTTCAAGCCCTAAAAGAAAACAACCTCCAACCTAGACAGATGTATCCTACAAAACTATCTTTCAAAATTGATGTGGAAATAAGATACTTCAATGACAAAGAACACCCAAGAAACTTCATGAATACCAAACCAGCACTAAAACAATTCTAAACAATATCCTAAAAAAAAGACAATGAAGAGCACAACTCCATGAGGTCCAACAGAGCAAATTGAGCAGGCAAAGCAAGAAATTAAAGGGAGAGGGGGAAACATAAATAATACAAGAGCCACCAACAGGAAAATAACTTGACAAGGATAAATCATTACATATCAGTTATAAGCATCAATGTTAATGGCCTCAATTCACAAATCAAAAGAAATAGACTGGCAGAATGGATTAAGAAGCAAAATCCAACAATATGCTGTATACAAGAAACACACTTAATTCAAAAAGACATTCATAGACTGAAAGTAAAAGGATGGAAAACAGTTCTCCATGTGACAGGAGTCCGGAAAAAAGCAGGGGTAGCTATTTTATTTGCAGACAAAATAGATTTCAAATGAAAAAGAATTAAGAGCGAAAAAGAAGGTCACTACATCCTTGTGAAGGGAACAATCCAAGAGGAATAGATAACAATGATAAATATACATACACCAAATACGAATGCCCCCAACCATACAAAACAAATATTAGTGGACATGAAAAACCAAATAAGCACTAATACAATTGTGGTGGGGGACCTCAATACCCTACTGTCACAAATAGACAGATCATCTACACAAAAATCAACAACAAAACTCTAGAACTAAACTAAGCTTTTGAACACATGGACTTAATAGATGTCTACAGAGTGTTCCACACCACAAAATCAGAATATACATTCTTTTTTGTTGCACACTGGTTATTCTCCAAAATAGACCACATCGTAGCTCACAGGGTAAGTTTAAGTAAATGGAGAAGAACTGAAGTTACCCCCTGTATATTATCAGACCATAGTGCAATAAAATTGGAGATCAACAGCATAAGAAACTGCAAAACCCTCACAAACACATGGAAATTGAGTAACACTCTCCTAAACAAACAATAGGTCACAGAAGAAAATAAAGGAGAAATTAGACAGTTTCTACAACTAAATGATAATGCCAGTACAATGTACAGGATGCCATGGGACACAAAGAAAGCAGTTCTATGAGGGAAATTTATAGCAGTGAATGCCCATATTAGGAAAACAGGGAGAGCTCAAAGAAACAACCTAATGCTGAACCTCAAGCTCCTAGAAAAAGAAGAACAAGACAAAGACAAAGCACATATGGGGAAGAAATTATAAAGATCAGAGCAGAAATCAATGTAATAGAGAATAAGACAACAATACAAAAAAATCAACAAATTGAAGAATTGGTTTTTCAAAAGAATAAATACAATTGATAAACCCTTAGCCAACCTTGTCAAAAAAAGGAAGAAAAGGCTCAAATCCATGCAATTAGGAATGAAAAAGGTGAAGTCACAACAGATCCAGCAGAAATCCAGAAGATCATCAATACCTACTTCAAGAACCTGTACTCTAATAAAATGGAAAACACAGAAGAAATGGACAGATTCCTAGATACATACAAATTGCCTAAGTTAAATGAAGAAGGTATAAAAATTCTAAACACCCCAATTACAATCAGTGAAATTGAAAACGTAATTAAAAATTTACCAACAAAGAAAAGCCCGGGTCCTGATGGCTTCACTGCTGAATTCTATAAGTCATTTAGAGAGGAACTACTGCCACAACTGTTTAAACTCTTCACTGAAACTGAAATGGAAGCAATACTTCTGAATTCATTCCTGGAAACAAGCATTACCTTGATCCCCAAAGCAGAGAAAGACCCAACCCAAAAAGAGAACTATAGGCCAATCTCACTAATGAGCATAGATGCAAAAGTCCTTAATAAGATACTGGCAAATAGAATGTAGAAGATCATCAAGAAGATCATTCACCCTGACCAAGTGGGATTTATCCCAGGGAATGCAGGGATGGTTCAACATACGCAAACCAATCAATGTAATACACTATATCAATAGAGCCAAGGACAAAAAACATATGATGGGCACATGCGTGCTTGCCGGAGTGGGCAGGCGGGAAGGACTGCTGGCTAGATCCCTAGGCGAGGCTTGCATGTCCACCCCCGGCCCAGGTCCCAGTGCCCACCAGGTCAGCCTGGCCCAGCCATGATCAAGGCGATCCTCATTTTCAACAACCATGGCAAGCCACGGCTCTCCAAGTTCTACCAACCCTACAGTGAAGATACACAACAAATCATCAGGGAGACTTTCCATTTGGTATCTAAGAGAGATGAAAATGTTTATAATTTCCTAGAAGGAGGATTTTGGTAATCATTCTTACGTTGTGTAACTTACTGTGACCTATGGAGTTAAATCTAATTAATTGGAGGATCTGACAACAAACTGATTTATAGACATTATGCAACACTATATTTTGTCTTCTGTGTGGATTCTTCAGAAAGTGAACTTGGCATTTTAGATTTAATTCATGTGTTCATGGAAACATTACACAAATGTTTTGAAAATGTCTGTGAACTAGATTTAATTTTCCACGTAGACAAAGTTCACAATATTCTTGCAGAAATGGTGACTGGGGGGATGATATTGGAGACCAACATAAATGAAATTGTTATACAAATTGATGCACAAAATAAACTGGAGAAATCTGAGGCTGGCTTAGCAGGAGCTCCAGCCCGTGCTTTATCAGCTGTAAAGAATATGAATCTTCCTGAGAAACCAAGGAATATTAACATTGGTGACATCAGTATAAAAGTGCCAAACCTGCCCTCTTATAAATAAAATATAAAACAGGCCCCTCCCAGGTAAAATCCAGGGGGAAAAGTCATCTAAGTTTACCATACAGTTGTTTACCAAAAATAGAGGAGGAGAGTCTTAACTTTTGCTCTTGGATTTAAGTCAAGGTACTGTATAGAAGTTGTGTAAAATAAGTATGAAAGTCCAATGTTGCTTTTCTTGCTCAGTGATTTTAAAGAAATTGTATAGTTCTGGTGTGATTTTTTTTTTCTTTTCTAAACTGCATTCCTATGCCCACATAAGACATGCCTCTATGTATTGGCTATTACAGTATTTTGAAAGTGAGGTATTTCTTTAATTATGTACAACCCAAAATCTTGGTGTTTTGTATGGATCACAAATGTAGCAATCCTTAATTCTTTCTGCTGTTTGTCACAATTGTTACTTAAAGAACCAAGTATGTATTGCATGAAAATATTATGACCTTTTCCTCTTAGTTTAAATAAATTCAAAGGTAACTGGATTTCTAAAGCAACTTTCTGTTTGCCTGATACCTACTTTAGCAATAATTTTTTTACTACCCTCTGACTCAAAAAAGTAAATAAAGGTATATTTTATCACTGTTAAAAAAAACCCATATGATGCAGAAAAAGCATTTGACAAAATCTAACATGGATTTATGATAAAAACCCTACAAAAAAATTGGAATAGACGGTCTCTACCTCAATCTTATAAAAGCCATCTATGAAAAACCAACAGCCAATATCATACTAAATGGTCAAAAACTGAAATCCTTCACACTAAAATCAGGAACAAGGCAAGGATGTCCACTATCACCACTCCTATTCAATATAGTCTTGGAAACATTAGCCACAGCAATTAGACAAGAGAAAGAAATAAAAGGAGGAAAGATAGGAAAGGAAGTACTTAACTGTCATTATTGGCTGATGATATGATACTCTACATAGAAGACCAAAAAAACTCCACCAAAAGACTTCTAAATTTAATTGACCGATTCAGTAGAGTAGCTGGATACAAGGTCAACACTCAAAAAACAATAGCCTTTTTATACACAAATAATAGACTCACTGAGAGAGAAATTAGGGAAATAATTCCTTTCACAATAACATCCAAAAAAATGAAATATCTAGGAATCAATCTAATGAAGAAAGCAAAAGACCTCTACACTGAAAACTACAGCACCCTGAAAAAAGAGATTGAAGAGGATATAAGAAAATGGAAAGACATCCCTTGCTTCTGGATAGGAAGAACCAATATTGTGAAAATGGTCATACTTCTAAAACTGCTATATATATTTAATGCAATGCCAATTGAAATTCCAACAATATATTTCACAGAAGTAGAGAAAACAGTCCGAAAATTCATCTGGAACCAGAAGAGACCTAAAATAGCGAAAGCAATTCTAGGCAACAGAGACATGGCAGGGGTATCACAATCCCCAACTTGAAACTATACTACAAAGCTACTGTGATAAAAACAGTAGGGTACTGGCAAAGAAATAGACCTGAGGATCAGTGGAATAGTTTGGAAGATGCAGAAGCAACTCCAGACATACTCTGCCACCTCATCTTTGGCAAAGGTGCCAACCATCCTCCCTGGAGGAAAGATGGCCTATTTAATAAATGGTGTTGGAAAAACTGGATTTCAACCTGCAAAAAATTAAAACTAGATCCATATCTATCACCATGCACTAAACTAAGATTGAAGTGGATTAAAGATCTAAATATTAAAACAGAAACACTAAACTTTCTGGAAGATAAGTTAGGTAGAACTCTTGAAGATATTGGCATACGAAAAAATTTATGAACAAATCCACAGTAGCATGGGAACTAGCAGAAAGAATCAGCAACTGGGATCTGATCGCATTAAAAAGCTTCTGCACTGCAAGAGAAACCACCAAAAGGGCTAAGAGACAACTTACAATGTGGGAAAAAAATTTTAGCAGCTCTACCTCAGACAGAGGACTACTCTCTTGAATATACAAAGAACTTAAAAAAAGCAGACCCACCCAAATTCAAAGACCCAATTGAAAAATGGGCATCTGAAATGAACAGACATTTCTCACACAAATAAAAGCAGCAAATATAAACATATGAAAAAATGTTCAACATCACTGGTCATTTGAGATATGCAGATGAAAACAACACTGAGATTCCACCTCACCCCAGAAAGAATGGCTGCTGTCAAGAAATCAACCAATAACAAATGCTGGCGGGGCTGTGGGGAAAGAGGAACCCTGCTCCACTGCTGGTGGGAGTGTAGACTGGTGCAATCACTGTGGAAATCAGTATGGAGATACCTCAAAGAACTAGGACTAGAGGTCCCATTTGACCCAGCTATTTCTCTGCTGGGTATCTTCCCCAAAGAATTTATAGAATCATACCACAGCAATATATCAGCACTCATGTTCATAGCAGCACAGTTCGTAATAGCTAAAACTTGGAAACAGTCCAAATGCCCATCAAATGGAGACTGGATAAAGAAAATGTGGGGTTTTTTATAAAATGGAGTACTACTCAGCCATAAAAAATGAGAAATTAGAGACATTTATAGCCAAATGGATGCACACTGAGGTGATACTCTTGAGTGAAATAAATAGGACACACGTGTAAATATCGAATAGTTTGTCTAGCATGAGAAACTGAAAGTGTAAATAAGAACTAAAAGTTATAATAGATAACATGAAATAGGAAGAAAAGGGACAAAGAAAGGGAAGTGGAAGGGGTAGGGGAAAGGAAAGAAAGGAATGGAATTAATATGAGAAAATGAAAAAATGGAAACAAAGTCTTTGTAAATAGGGAGGGATGGAGGGTTTGAAGGGAGGGCAGGGGAATGGGGGAAAAGTAAGAACCAAGAGAGATTATGTTTTAGCAAATTTCCAATGATGAATGTCATTATATTGTATACCTAAAATGTACTAATAAAATAAAATTTCAAAAAAAAATACAGGCGTGCCCAAAAAGAAACTAAAACAGAATACCAATATTAGTCTATTTTAGCTTACAGGATTAGAGGCAATTCTCATTTTCTTCTGCAGAATTCATTTTCCAAGTTTTCAACAGAGAATATTTTTAACTTCTGTAAGTAAAAAAAAGTAATTTTATTGCCTTGGGTTATAAAAGATGTTCACATAGCTGGGTGTGGTGGTGTACTCCTGAATTTCCAGCACTTTGGGAAGCTGAGGCAAGTGCATTGCAAATTCAAGCCCTGCTTGAACAACTTAGTGTGACCCTGTCTCAAAATAAAAAATAAAAAGCACTGTGGGTGTAGCTCAGTGCAAAGGTTCTGGGTTCAATCCCTTACACTAGAAAAAAAAAACGTTCACAGAATATTTCGTAGAGGGTAAAAGAAGGATTTGGTTGTTGTGTAGACTTTCAAGTGACAACTCTCAGACAATTGGCCATTGACCACTGACTTCAGGATCATACAAAAAGCTGGCACCCTGGGGTGTTATGTTGTCACCTGTGCTGGTGACACACATTGATAGTGATGTGGTGATGTCCTAATGCTGTGGGTGGAAGGGGAACTAATCTATAGACAGGGATGGAGGGCAAGCCAGCCCATTGTATCAAAGACAATCTGAAAGTGCCCATAAGTCCATCATGGGACTTTAAATTCTCTTGACCTTTGACTAAGACATAGAGAGAAGTAGAAAGTAAAACTGGAGCACAAAGTGGAGTGTAAAAGGGAGACCTGGATCCGGTCTACTCACGTGATGTTGCCAGGGCACTAATATAATGGGGCCCATTACTTTGTATTGATAAATAGTACACCAGAGAAATTTGAGACAGGAGCAAGCAGAAAATGTGTTGCTCATACTGCACATCATATATATTTATCTAGCCTGGCTGTTCTCTAACGTTATTGTCACTCTGCGAGCAAAAAGGTTTTCCTCCTTCGTATCTTCATCTACTCTGCAGCACAAAGAACAGTACTTAGTGAAAGAAGCCACTTACAGGAAGCCACAAATTGTATGATTTCATTTATGTGAAACTTCCACAAGAGGAAATCCATAGTGACAAGTGGATTCGTAGTTCTCAGAGGCTAGAGGGAGGAGAGGATGGGGAGTGACTGTCAATGGGTTGCTGATTTCTTAGGGTGAGGGAAATACTCTGGAACTACATAGATATGCATTAGATGGCTGCACAGTTCTGTAAACAAAAAATCCACTGAGAGGTACATCCTCTATCTTTTAGTCCCTTTCTCTTTAGCACATTTATGGAAACGGAACAACACCCTGGGATAGACATCTTTTATGGTGCTGAAGGTTTAAGCAAGAAAACTCTTGCAGAGGTACTTCCAAAGTATCTGGAGGAAGGGGATCCTGCAAAGAGTGCTGGTGCTGGTGCTCCTGTGGATGCAGTCTTGCAGGTTATTATATTCCGGAGCTCTTCGTACTTTGCCATCTCCGTGGTGTGCTGAGAAGCTCTCCTGACCTGGATCCCTCTCGTACACAACCGAGCAGTGGACTGAAGTGGGCAGGTCTTTTACTGTGCTGTCTGTCACCTCCTCCCTGTGCTTCTTCCAGGAGCTGTTGCCCCTCACCTGGGAACAGCTCTCTGTAGGAGTGCTACTCATATGAAATAATCTTTCACCACCAGGGCCACTATTTCCTTCACACAAGAAGAGACATTTATCTTGTGGCTAATGGATAATTAATTTTAAAAATGTATATTATGACACAATTGATAAAAAGGAAAAAGGCAAGCCAGACAATGGGACTAAATGTCCCTTCTTCAAATTGACTCCTATTTAGCTCTTCCAATGTCATCCCAAACACAGATAACTTTTCTTTCATGAATTGTTCTCCTGAATGATTTATATGTGTCATGTTATCTGAGGCTCTCTCTGGGTCCCCTGGTGGATTTAGCCCGCCATCAGCTGCATAATTGTTAATTTTAACACTATAAAAGGTTCTGATGCTGAAGAGATACGGTCTTGGTGGAAGAATTAATTGAAATGTATCTCCCAATCACACGACTCCCCTATTGCTGGCTTTCCACACACAAGAATCATACTTTAGG